TCGTTTCTTGTTTTTGACTGTACATCTCCTGATTTGGACTCGTCAGATAGATCAGCCAAGTTAGCTTGTCTCAAAATCTTAAAGTGAAACACCGGTTCTCCACAGTCTGACTTGTCAGATCTGTCACGATCCTCGATCTTCTCACATGGGCTTTGTAGCCCTGTTTTCTGTGTGCTTTCCTCCTCCTCTGGTCGTTCTTTTAAGTCTGCATTCATTTCTGGCTCTTCTTCAACACAAGGGAGAAGAGCACTTCTTTGAATCAAACCTCCCAGGTTCACAGAGTTGGTACGATGCTGTTTTTGATGCGAAATTACCTTTCCGGGATTGGAGAAGCTCTGCTTAGCTCCGCCATGGTTGCTGAAGTGACTTGTGGGTTGTGCAGACGTGCGGAGGCTCCCGTGCCTGTGATAGTGATTTTGCAGGTGTTTGTCTAGTGACGCTTCATCTCTAAAGCCGCGAGTGCAGCTCAAACACCAAAATGGATTCTGTTTATGTAGCTCAGCGTGAGCCAACCACAGCCCCGCAGAAGCAAAGTCCTTGTTACAAGTATCACATCTGTGAGGGGCTGATTTTAATGAAATGCTTGCTCTGTGAACTCTCAGGTGGGAAATTAGCCGTGTTCGTCTGATGAATAGCATCCCACAATCTGGACACTCGTACTGGCGCAAAATTGACTCGTCCGGAGGTTTCGCTGATGCAGAGGACTCGTTTTCGTGCAGCTGTTGGTGTTTTTTGAAAGAAACCAGGTACGCGTAAATCTTTCCACAGATCGAGCAAACATAATCTTTTCTAGGTGCATTCTTCACTGAGGCGGTGGAAACTCCAAAGCTTTGAATCGGGTCTGAGGTCCCTGTTTGGGCTGAATCGCTCTCATCACACTCAGCTGTATTACCAATCATGCTTTCATCTCCATTTTCTCCAGCATCTTCTCTCTCTGGCACTAGTTCTGCTACCATGTGGTCTTCAATCTCTGCTTCCTCCTCTTCCAGAGCGTGCTGGTGCAGGTGAGTCTCGTAGTTTTCCCACTGTGTGAACTTCAGCCCACAGTCCTTACATTCAACTCTGTGCTCCTCATCTACAAAGGAAAAAAAAGTTATTAAGTACAGTAAGTATTGGTACTGATTAAATGTTTAGTGTAAATTGTGAACATGTAGTATCATGCTGAAATGCTGTTAAGCAAGGGTGCAGTAAACACTAATAATAATAATAAAATGTGTTCTCATGCTATGACTCACTCTCTTCCGCCTCTCCTCTGGTTTGCGATTGTACATCTTCTGATTCAGACCCATCAGATAGTTTGGAAACCTTTGAGTGACACACAGGCTCTGTACAATCAGACTCCACAGAGCTGTCACGCTCTGCAGTCATTGCATCCTCGCCTGGGCCTTCAACTTCACTTCTCTCCACATTGTCTTCTTTTCTCGTCTCCTCTTGCATGTTTGTATTTGTTTTATCTCCTTTAGAGGTCGTCTTCCTGTGGAGACGCTGGTGTTTTTGGAACGAAACACGGTATTTATACTTCTTTCCACAGGTCACGCAGGTGTAACCCTGTCTAAGTGTATTTCTCACATCTTCATCTCTGCTTTCTACATCGTCTGCTCTCTCAGAGACTGTTTCTGCTGTCCTGTCCTCTTCCATCGGAGTTTCCTCGTCTTCCACGGCGTGCTGGTGCAGGTGAGTCTCATAGAGCTCCTGCTGTGCAAACTTCAGCCCACAGTCCTTACATTCAACACTGAGTTCTTTATCTGCAAAGAGCAACAGGAGAAATTTTAAGTACAAAAAATATTGACATGGATTAAATGTTTAGGGTAAGTATGAAGAAGTAGAATAAACCTGTTATGATTTTATAAATTATTTTAGACAAATGATCGTTCTGTTTTTCATCATCTGAAAGTTTCTCTCAAATTCAGGAGGACAGCTCAGTCACAAAGTTACCATCTGATGTAAAGCAACCAACTGATCACAGTCTGTGGAAAACTTGCACAATTTTTAACATTACTCTTTAAACTGCTAAAATTTTAACAAACAAGAAAAAAAAACCAACAAAACAAAAAGTACAGGTTGGACTCCACTTAAGTATTTCAGGAGAAGAAAGTAGGTGTTTTTTGTTATGTTTTTCTATCATTTTTGAGGACCTATTTTAATATCCCACTATCCAGTCAAGTCATCTGAGCTAGGTTCTTTACATGTTTAAATATTTGATACCAAAGCTCTATAAATATAAACCCTCAGGAAGGAGTGTAGCTCAAATTAACATTCAGCGATAGATGCTTGAAGTACTTAAAATTGTTGGATGTCCAGCCTCTGACAGCAGATCTGGAATCCTGCAGAAACCAGATTTTAATTTACAGCTTCTGACACACAAAAGTTCCTGTTAAATTTAAGATCATGTTTTTGCTCATTTTCCCATTTTATAAGAATTTAAACTGAATCATGCAGCAAGTAGATTTTTCTGCACAGAAAGAACAGATGTGTGCTGAATGCCGTTACAACACAAAAACACAAGTTCATGATTCCACCTCTGGACACAGATATGTATTTAAGGAGAACAACATCAAAATCCTGAGAATTACATATTTTGTGACTGGAAACACTTTTGAATAACATTTGTTTTATTAACACTGAAGACAAACAATTGAGGAAAGTGAATGTGTTGCACTCACTTAGTTTGATATGTATTATGTTCTTGCAAAAGAAATAAACACTGTGGTGGAGTAGTTATGGTTTCTGTTTAGTTTAATAGCCGAATGATTCAGCATCACTGGTGAGATTATTCTTGATTAAGAATTCTATCGTAGCAATAATTTAATATAAATGTGAAAATGCAATTTATCAAACTGCCTCAAAAGTTACAGTGCTTACATTTATTACATCACTTGTCATAAAAACAAGAAAACTCCAAAACTTTAGAGATTAGGAAAATAAACTGGGGTCTGCATTTTTACACCCAGATTTCAGCTGCACACTAGATTTCTTTAAGAACTCGGAAATTAATCATTCAAACACTAAAAAGAACTCATCTATTCACAAATACAAGTAAATGACTGTAATTTGCCATCTTAACCAAATAATAACATACTTTATATTTTTTCTCAGCTCTTTTGTAAAGCAGTCAATTTTAAAATACATGGAGTAGAGCAATAATTATATTATAGCATTAAAAATATAATTTTGATAAAAGAGCTTGCACATTACAGACAAATAAAATACGATTTGGTAATTACCAAAACGTAATCTACAGCAGCTGTGGCATAAACCTTACACTGGGTTGTGGTCTATAAAATTTCGTAAGCATGCTATCTCACCTTGTAAATAAAAAGCACCACGTGAAATTTAGACTCTTAATCTTAAATCAGGAAATCTTAGAATGTATTATAGACTCAGGCTGCCAAATTTAAGCATGGATATAAAGAATTTATTTTGAGGAAAATCAGAGCGATCATCATGACAAACTTTGGATGTAATATTAAAAGGAACTTGTTATTTACAAACAAGTTCATTTAGATTTGGTGCAATAGTGTCATAGCTGGATGAAAATGTGTTTTTTTTCACCTGAAATTGACTCTTTTAAAGAATATTTTGAGCCTTTTGTATGAAAAATTGTACATAAAATCTCAGTTCCCTGCCTGTAAAACAACAGCATTTCAGATCTGTCAGTAAAACAAATATTTTAGGGACTTCGAGCAAATTTCTTTCAAAGAAAACTAAGGCCAGTAGAGACCTGGAATTTTGCTTACTTCCTGTTAATAAGTATAACTCCCCTCTTTGAATTATTTTTCAGGCAAACTTGAGATGGTCAGCTTGGAGACGTGTGAAGAACTGGCATGTCATCACCTAAGATCAGAATCCGAGCACTCTTATTACCACTTATCTATGTGTGTGCATGTTCGCATGCTATGACTCACTCTCGTCCACCTCTCCTCTGGTTTGCGATCGTACATCTTCTGATTCAGACCCATCAGATAGTTTGGAAACCTTTGAGTGACACACAGGCTCTGTACAATCAGACTCCACAGAGCTGTCACGCTCTGCAGTCATTGCATCCTCGCCTGGGCCTTCAACTTCACTTCTTTCCACATTGTCTTCTTTTCTCGTCTCCTCTTGCATGTTTGTATTTGTTTTATCTCCTTTAGAGGTCGTCTTCCTGTGGAGACGCTGGTGTTTTTGGAACGAAACACGGTATTTATAATTCTTTCCACAGGTCACGCAGGTGTAACCCTGTCTAAGTGTATTTCTCACATCTTCATCTCTGCTCTCTCCATCGTCTGCTCTCTCAGAGACTGTTTCTGCTGTCCTGTCCTCTTCCATCGGAGTTTCCTCGTCTTCCACGGCGTGCTGGTGCAGGTGAGTCTCGTAGAGCTCCTGCTGTGCGAACTTCAGCCCACAGTCCTTACATTCAACTTTGTGCTCCTCATCTACAAAGGAAAAAAAAGTTATTAAGTACAGTAAGTATTGGTACTGATTAAATGTTTAGTGTAAATTGTGAACATGTAGTATCATGCTGACATGCTGTTAAGCAAGGGTGCAGTAAACACTAATAATAATAATAAAATGTGTTCTCATGCTATGACTCACTCTCGTCCACCTCTCCTCTGGTTTGCGATCGTACATCTTCTGATTCAGACCCATCAGATAGTTTGGAAACCTTTGAGTGACACACAGGCTCTGTACAATCAGACTCCACAGAGCTGTCACGCTCTGCAGTCATTGCATCCTCGCCTGGGCCTTCAACTTCACTTCTCTCCACATTGTCTTCTTTTCTCGTCTCCTCTTGCATGTTTGCATTTGTTTTATCTCCTTTAGAGGTCGTCTTCCTGTGGAGACGCTGGTGTTTTTGGAACGAAACACGGTATTTATACTTCTTTCCACAGGTCACGCAGGTGTAACCCTGTCTAAGTGTATTTCTCACATCTTCATCTCTGCTTTCTACATCGTCTGCTCTCTCAGAGACTGTTTCTGCTGTCCTGTCCTCTTCCATCGGAGTTTCCTCGTCTTCCACGGCGTGCTGGTGCAGGTGAGTCTCGTAGAGCTCCTGCTGTGCAAACTTCAGCCCACAGTCCTTACATTCAACACTGAGTTCTTTATCTGCAAAGAGCAACAGGAGAAAATTTTAATTACCATGTAGATTATTATGGCAGCTTGTGTTTTACATGGAAAGTCTGAGTAATATTTTATTTTGACAGTTTGAGATAAATTATTCTGTTTCAGCAGGCATTAGAAAGTGATCACGTCAGCAAAAAAAAAAATTGTGCAAAAAAAACCCCAAACCCCCCCAAAACCGAAACTCAAATAAACTTAAATAGGAAATTTAAAAAAAAAAAAAAAAAAAAAACACAACCTAAAATTAAGCATAAAAATACTGATTTCCAAGCACTGACAGTAAAGACATCTTTTAGCACCTCCTGATTACACTGATGTATTCAAAAATTTTCTTGTTTGCCACTGAGAATTTTTTTTACACTGATTTTAGATAAGAAATCTGATTTAAGCCTACACATTAGGTTTTTGAGAGTCACGTTGCCATTTCAATATTTTTTAATAACAATATACTGACACTATATCTGGGATTTAAACTATTTGCCAACAAAATTGTTTTTTGTGTTTTTTTTCTTAAAGACGACACCGGAGTTGCATTTAAGCATATTTCTATCAATTTAGCTAAAAATAAAAACAAGCATGCTCAGGGTGCTCAGAGATGTTTGAGGCACTGGATTTTACTGCACATTCATTTCTCTTTGCAAGAACCAACAGTGGTCACTCATCATGCTCTGACTCAATTTTCCCTGATATCAGTTTTTCATCACTTTCATATTTTGGTTAAATCTTTAGCGGCACTTATCGCTGACATCACACAGATCTGGTGGAGAAAATGTAGAAAGTGCATCTTCAGTGACATTCTGGCACTCATTATCTGATATACTTTCAGCATGTTTATCCACAAGCTCAGCACTATTAACAGCTATGTGACTGCCAAGAAACAACATGCTTGAATGCTGCTGATTCAGCTGGTTTACTTTTCCTTTTGAACTCATCATGAAGCATCAGTTCATGTTCATCAGGACCAAGAAAATCACCTTTAGTGCACTGATGTCTTAAACACTGAGATGCATCTCCATTTCTGTCCAGTCCTGTTATCCAGTGAATCAGTGGAACATCACAGCGACAAAAAACGTGAAGCTAGAAGAAAACAGCTCTCATATTTGGAGTCAGTAAGTGAAATTAGTGGAAGTACAGGTGAAAGAATCCCAGGAACAAAATGTTTGTTGATCAGTGCTACAGCAGGCACTGCAAACATCTTTAAATTGGAGGAAACTGGACCTATATCACTGCAGAGCCTTAACTAATATGATCAACAACACATGCTTTTACTTATTTGTACATTGTTTTAGTAGCAAACTTTTAGTTTGCTCCTTTGACACATCAAGGTGTTCTATTTAATACATGCTAGATATGAAATGTAGTAATGCGAGAGCAATTTATGTCACCCGCATATTGGCATATTCATAAGCTAAGTAATCGTGAAATGGGAAACAACAATATTAACAACCCAGACATGACTAGAATATGCAGACTGACTGAATTAATCACACAACCATTAATCATGGCAAAAACAAGTTCGTTTATTTTCAACTTCTTTGACTTCTAGGAATAAAAAACAAATAAATATAACAAACTACTTAGAACTATACTACAAGAACATAACTGCTACTTTAAAGTAATGAATATTTTATCACACAATAGAAATAACACTATAAAGAATCAACAGAGGAGCTTATAAATCAGTTAATGCGTAATGCATTGTACAAAGCATACAATGAACGTAGTATAGTTTATAATAATGGAAGTGACCAAGTGATGTTAGACAAGAATTTTGTTTTTCCTACCAGGTTATGTAAAGAGTACGCATTGCTGAATTTCAGGTTCTTTTTCTTTCTGTAAAATATGCAAAACGTCAATCATCCTTCAACAAAACATCAGTTCTTAACAAAAACAGCAGCAAAATTAGCACATGCGTGTGGCGCAACATTGTTTAGCATGTCTTTCTACACTTTGCAAGTAGTGTGTCAACAGCATTTTTCATTTCTCTGGGCAATTTACATGCATAAATTTGTCTGAAAATGAAAGACAGTGGTCCCCAAAGAAATTAATCAAGTTCAATTTACATTCACAACAGGTCAATTTAAAACAGCAAAAAAATATGAGATCTATGACATCAGTGCTCCCCCCCCAAAAAACAACACTGTATTTTCACATTTGTACCACCACCAGTCAGATCATTAAACTTAACTCTTGCACAGTGCAGCTCTTTCTGGTGCTGTCTGGTTGCTTGGTCTTGATTTGTGGTGCAGGTCAAAATAGAACTAACATCAACTTAATAACGGGATAGAGTGATCTCTGTTACCGATTTTACCTGCCAGTTCTGCTCAGCATATACTAGTCCAGTGTTACATGTTTAAGTACAACGAATCTCAAAAACTATACGAACAAATTAGGAACTATTTAGCCAAAGTAAAAGGTGCAAAAAAGAAATTTTCTAACAAAGATTTTTAGAAGTTTCAGAAAAGCCAGCATCTATGTACAGAGTCATTGTTTCAGGTCTTTTCAGGTTTCTTTGCTTTAATTCACTCTGTGGGTGTGTTCAATATAATGCTGGTGCAAATCAGTTTCTTGACAAAAAGTAGTTCCACATTCAAGGCAAGTAAGGCCATTGGAATCTCCTGCAGAGACAGCAGCAGGAGCATCGCTTTGTCTTTTGTAATCGCTGATACATTCCTGGTGATGCTCGATGAGGTCTTGGATTTCACGGAAGGTCCTGGGGCAAACGGAGCAATGGTATGAGTCACTGCTGCTGCACTGCTCCGTTTTGTGTTTCTGTAATTCGGTCGGTGAAAGAAAGGCTTTGCCACAGTGTTGGCACTTATGGCTACTTTGTGACTGGCCCGCTGAGTTGAGCGTAGGCCGAATCACTTTAGAAGATGGGAAAAACTTTTCTCTGTTGTCAGCAGCGGGGGGATTGGGTTTTAGAGGCTTTGAGGTCATAGCAGCACTCAGTCTATAGCGTACCTCATTCGGCAGACGGCAGCGGACTTCGTCGTGCCAAGCAAGGTGCTGATGTAGCTGATTCTCAGTCCAAAAGCCTTGGCAGCACAGAGCACAGGAGTAAGGCCGACTCTGTGCCTTTGCCTTATGGGTCCCTAATTGTTCCTCCGTTTGGAAAGCTTTCCCGCACTTATCACACTTGAAGAAGCATTTGGCTGTGTTCTCCGATACACAGCTGACTTGTGGAGGAACCTCAGCTGCAGCTCTAGGAGTTTGATTATCCAGTTTCGACTCCTGCTTCACATCCAGGTAAACTCTCTTAAAGTTGGGGGCGCCTTCAGAAATGCCCCATTCCCTGGAGTCTGGACACAATTTCACAGGAGAATCCAATGTGATTTTCATCCAATCTCTGTCAACTGTGCTACTTTTTAACATCACACTGGTGTTATCTGCTGCTGATGAATCTCCAGTTTTCCTCATCTCACTACTTGAGGCAACAGGCTCTTTTTTTCTGCGCAAAGCAGCTTTGCGTTTGCCTTTTGTGCTCTTTGCGTGGGCCTGCCATTTGTGAGCACGTAGTCCTCTTGCTTTAGTAAAGGTCATCGAGCAGAGGGGACACTGGTGAGGTTTTGGCTTCAGTGCCAGCAATACGGCATCACTCTCACTGCAATTTATTTTGACTTGTTCTGGAGCCTGGTCAAACGCCTCGTTTCCCGTCTCTAAAGTTTTACTGTGCTTGGCTGGAAGTAAATCTTGCACAAATGTCTTGCCTGGTTCGTTGCTGCTCAAATCTGGCTCTGGTACAGCTTTGCTTTGACATGGTGGATTAAACATCTGGTGGCGCTGCAGAACGCGGTGATTAAAAAACTGTTTGCCACAGTTTTTGCACTGAAAAGTTCCATCTATGGTTTTGTGGTTAAGAGATTTCAAATCATCATCTTTTAGCAGGGACCGCGAAGATTTCTTTTCTTTGTGCCATCGTTTGTGGGAGCCCAGGGCTGAGTTAGACATGAACCGTCTCCCACATTCAGAGCAGTGAAACAGTCCTTTACCCTGCTCTTCTTGTTTAGGTTTTTTTAACATTGTAGAAATGGCCAGTTTGGATTTTGGTAAAGACCTGTAGCCCTCAGCATGAATTCTTTTGTGAAAATTTAAAGCCCCAACTACTGAAAAGCTTCTGTCACATTTTTTGCATTTGTATTTCATATTGGATGCAGTTGGGTTTTCCAGTTCTCCTTCACCTGTGTCATTTTCCATCTCTGGTTCCGTGCCATCCATTTCACTCTTTACTGGTGTACGTACCTTTGACTGGTCAGAGCTTTCCCATGTGCTAGCATCCACGCTGCCTTCGCACAATCTTAGAGCATCATCGTTTTCTGTATTTGCAACGACTTGATTGTCTCTTTTAATGCACAGTTTCTGATGAACCCTTAAAGAGACCTTGCTGTTGAAATGTGCAAGGCATGTAGCGCACTGTAGATCCTCCAGCGTGACTCTGGACCACGATGATGATGGAGAATGCCCACTCTCATAGCCATGGCTTTTCATATGAAACTGCAGTGCTTTGGCCCGTGAAAACAACTTCCCACAGTCAGGACAGCTGTAGGTGTTCTTTTTCAGCTGTTCAACTTGATGCTGAAAAGACTTGATGGGTGGTGGGAGCAACTGGTCATTATGCACTACCTGGTGTCTAAGGAGGCTGGAAAAAAGGCGGAATGACCTGTTGCAGAGTTCGCATTTGTGATTTCCATTTTCATGCTTTCGCATGTGCAATGTCATGATGCCTCTGTGCCGAAATTTTCTGCCACACACCGGACATGCAACCTTCATGCTAGAGCGTTGGTGTCCATTAACAGAGGATCCCGGGACACCTTTTCTCAGCCTCAAATCTGCACACTCTGTCGGATTTTGCTTGTGGTGTGAGAAAGCACCTAAAGACCAAAATCCCTTTCCACACTGCTCACAATGATAGATCTTTGGGCCCAGTAGGGTTTTCTTTGGATTGTATTCTTTCTTACTGACTGAAATATTTTCCTTTTTTTGTGCAGAGCAGGTTTTCATATGGTTAAATAGGCTAGCTGCATGCGAATAAGACATTGTGCAATCTGGGCACTGGAACTGTTTTCTTTTGGGATGATGCAACTGATGAGAGACCAAAGCAGACAAACGAGAGAAAACTTTGCCGCATTCACTGCACGTCAGATTTTTCTTCTCTAATCCCTCCACCTCCTGAAATGCATCGCTGCTTGGCATCTGACCACCGTGGGTCTGTATGTGATGGCAGTGTGCCTCAAAGCTACTTGCTTCATGACCACAAGTGTCACATGTGTAAAAAGGCGCTGACTGACCTTGTGCCTGCTGTCTTCTCTTATAAACGCCATGCCACATTCTGTGAACACGCAGCGATGAAGAACTAGAAAACCAGCGATAACACTCTGGACAATCAAACCTGTCTTCTGCTGATTTATTCTCAGCTTCCCTCGCTATCAGTGCAATCGGCTCATCAGCCTGCTCAAAATCAATTTGTACAATTTTCAAGTCCATTTCTGGTTTGGAAACAATATCACTGTCATCTCTTCCCTCCTGATCGGATTCACACACCAGCTCCAGGTCAGGATTCAGATCTTGGGGTGGCTCATCCTCAGACTCACTTGCACTGATCACCTGTACGTTAAAGTCACCGGGTTCATAACTTTCCATGTCTTCATCAGTCTCAACTATGTACAACTCTTCAGTCATGTTGGTCGGAGGCAAACTGTCCAGCTGCACTTTTCCTTCTGTAGACGTTTCCAAGTCAATCTCTGGTCTTCCGCTTTCTGCCATTTGGTCTTGAGGTAGAGAGGAACACATCTGGGCCTCCTTCTCAGTTTCTCTAAAAACATCTGTGTGATGAAGCTGATGAGAATGAAGTGCCGAAGACCTGGAGAACTTTAGCCCACAATCTTTACATTCAAATGCCTTCTTCTGTAGCTGGCACAGCTGATGGTGAAATGACTTTGCTGGGGTTTCGTCACTGTGTGCAGTGCGCTGATGCCTGTAGTAGAACGTAAGAGTCATGAACACTTTTCCACATTCCTCACATGGGAACCTTTTTGCAGAATTATCACCATGATTGGCATGCCATCGCTGATGGTTAAAGAGAGCAATATGGCCACTGAAACCCTTTTTACACTCGCTGCAGTAAAACTCGTTGCAGTTCTTCTTTGGCTTTTGTTTCATTTCTTCAGGAGAGCACTGACTATTGCGGCTAAATCTCTGATGAGTCTTAAGTCGCATCAGGGCAGAAAAAGCTTTCCCACATGAGCATGTAAAAACCTTTTCAGAATAATCCTCCGTTTGACTTTCACCTGCCTTTGTTTCTGCTAATGACTCCCCAGCTGGAATTGCATCTCCTGAACTCCTGTTTCTGGGCTTAATCAACTTTTCCTCATGACAACGACGATGGGCATCAAGAGCTGAAGCACGAGAATAATTTCTCCCACAAGATTCGCACTGAAACGACTTCTTTTTCAAATGCTGAAGGTCATGAAAAACTGATTTGGAGGGTTGTCTGTGTGAGCGCTGATGGTTGAGAAAGTGTCCAATCACACCATAAGATTTCCCACAGTCCTGACATTCATAAGTTTGTTGCTTTGCTATGGCAGCATTAATCCGGATACCAGTCTCCTTTTGAGAGATCTGATCATGGTTCTTCTCCATATGCAAGTGGTATTCACTCAGGTCAATAAATGAGGATGAGCATAAAGAACAAAAGTGAAGCGCTTCATTGTCCTTTTCTCCATCATGTAACTCATCCATGTGCTTGTCCAAATACATGCTTTCTTGTGGATGTTCACGCAAATGCTTCAAGAAGGCTGCCTCCTCTCTGAAGCCTTCTCCACAATGCTGACAGCAGAAAACCCCACTCCCTAAAAATAGAAAAGGGGAAAAGAGGAGGTCAAAGCCACTCCTGTTTTCAGAGAAGAAAAAAAGAAAGGAAATTTAAAAACAAAACAAAACAAAAAACAGAGGCGCAAACATGTCTTTATTTTAAAGTAACTTGAGCTTACAGTATAATCACACAACTGCACAATTTCCATATAAAACAAAGAAATGATAGGAGAAAAATAACACTTATTAAAAAAACAACAACAAAAAAAAGTGTCATTACTGAGGTGCAAATACACTGTTTAGGGCTAAAATACCTTGAAGATGAATTATTTTGTTATTTAATACAGTTGCTGTAGTTGCATTTTTTTTTTTTTAATAGACATGGTAAATGGTTAACGAATGTCCGCAAAGCACCTGCACACTGTGGACAACCATGTTTAGATAAAATCTCATTTAGAGCAGGGCGATATGGCCAAAAATATTTATCACGATATATATTTGAAAATTTGCGATAACGATATAACCGACGATATAATTGATGCGAGACAAAATACAACTCCACAACATTACTAGCGCAAAAAGACAACCTTCCATTTATTTTCACTTAAACAAGAAGCTGGTTTTTATGTACATTAAAGCTTTATAAAAATGTAACAGTGCAAATGCAAATTCCTTGCTGAAAGTTTAACCAAAAGGCATTTCCAGTAGAAATGGGCTGACATATCCTGAGCATAACCATGTATAATATCCACTGAAGTTAAAAAGAGGTGCTTTGCAACATTAAACTGCAGTGTGCAGTACGTATTTTTCGGACCATAAGGTGCACGGGATTATAAGGCACATTAAGCGAAACAAAGCAGTCAGAATCAAATTTTATTAAACTCATTCTTCTTGCTTCCTCCACTTCTGTACCATTGATTTATTAATGAATGAATTCTGCTCTATTCCCATGTTGTTGCAATATATTAATGCCTAACCTGGTATTGTGGATGGATTATCTCAGTTGTTCTCCTGACTGAAGTTTGATCCGTTTACAGCATCCTGCCATGCGATTGCATTTGTCTCTAACTATCAGGAACTTTAACGTTAACTTTTATAAGTGGAAAAGTGTTAGTGTTCTCCTCCAGCTTCACTGTTTATGTTATGCTAACATAGCTGTGTCGCTAGCGATCACATCATTATATACCAGCTAGCCCAACTTCAGTAACCCTACAAATGTCACTGCTGTTTAGTTTCCTGTCTTAATTTATGTTGGACGTGATAGCAGAGCTGTACGTTTGAATTTTTCCAGAAATCTCTGTCAGAACATGCTATATCATGCTTAGGTAACTAGCGAAACTAGCGAGCTAACTTCCGCTAGCTTCCTGCTAACTTCTAACTCCGTTAAATGTAATACATTTTGTTTTCATGGATGCCTGGAAGTTAAACTTCATAGTTTCACCTTGTAAAGCAGCAATGCTGATCGTTTCATTAAAGATGAAAGAATTTAGACAGTTTTTAACTCCCAGTGATGCTGCAGTGTTCGTTTGACCTGAAGGATACGGAGTTTAGGACACAGATTACTCCCAGATTTAAGAGCATCTTAGTCCGACAAATACGACAATAACGACGGCCGCTTGCATGTTCTGCAAAAAAATGTGCTTTGTCGTGTATCTGACGGACAAACACCAAACCAGTTCCACATCACTGAAGTTGCACCATTTTTACAAACCAATTCTGGTTCATCTGTTTCACTCAACAATCGGCCATGTGCGTATGAAAACAAAGGCACTGCGCATATGCGCGTTTTACTCATATTCTATCGCGATAATTCATTTTCCTATCGTTGCCTAACATTATACCGGTATTACCGTGAACGGTATAATATGGCCCAGCCCTAATCTCATTTAATGTCAACTCATATTTAAACGTTTAGAGAATTAATAAGTAAAGGCTGTGTTTTTCAACAAAACTCAATCCAAACAGATTTTTAACGCATATTTCTGAAATTTAGAGCAGTGAACCACAACTGTTACTCTGTAAATGCAGTGCTTCTTATGTGTTAAAAACATGTCCCTATTGAAGCTTTTCTTATGGATACAAAGTAGAGCTGGGCGATATGAGATTTTTTCATATCACGATATGTTTTTTTCATTTCAGGCGATAACGATATCTATCACGATATAAGCCAAATAACTATATTTGTAAGATTTAAATGTGCCGTTGCTCACAAGTAAAATGTGAAATAATCAGCAGCTTGTTTTTATTTAAATATTTATTTCCCATAATAAGTTCATCCATTAAGCGGACGCGAATGGATGGATGAAGTTCAACAGGGTAGATGTACTTAAGGAACATGAGACTTTTTCAGATAAATAAAGGCAAATATTGCAAACTACACAAAAGACAGCCACTAAAGCGTTTAAGTTTCAAAATAGAACAAACAAAACAGACTAAATTGTCAATTCCACTTAGAAACAAAATATTAATTCTAAAAATAAATCTTAGTTTGTTTTACAGAAGAACAGACAAAACTGACTAACTTTTGTCAATATCAAATAAACTGAGAACGAAAAGGAAATTCTCAATCTCTCCTTGTTGTATAGCTGAGCTTTTCAAACAGTTTTAACAGTTACTTTAGTCTGACAAAAGCCGAATGACGAATTAGCGCTTCCAGTCAGAGACTGAGGCTACGTCCACACGTACACGGGTATTTTTGAAAACGGAGATTTTCCGTTTTCGTTTTAAAAACTAATCCCGTCCACACATAAAGGCAGAAATGAAGGAAAACGCTGCTATGAACATGCCAAAGCAGCAGGTGGCGCTAGATTCCTAACCGTGCAGAAATGTTGGCCAATCAGAAGTCTAGAAGCCTCGGTGGGGAAAAAGTAAACAAAGCTGGGGCATAGAAGCAGAACCGAGTCGTATGTGTGGAGGGACAGTAACTGTGTGTATATGTAAGCATTTAAACACTGCAGAGAGTAGAATTAACAGTAACAGTATTGTAGAAATTCATTTCACCGGAACAATAACGTGGCGCAGTGTGACGCATGCACCAGTTTATTGTATTTCCAGACTTGTTTTCGGCACAATTTACAGTGCACGCTACTCTGTTTTTTGTCAGACTTGAAATAGCCGAAATACCTTCACACTACGGAACTTCTATGGCTCTTCCGTTCGACAATCTGTCCGGCATTGGAACCATCATCTGTTTTCTCTTCGGTCACGCTCGGTTGATTTTTCTAGTCGGCACACTCATTTCCTCCATTACCCGCTGGCTGCTTCCCAAACAAACACATGTGCGGCTTGGCACTTGTGCTGTATGTAACAAGTCACGCGACGTGACGCTGCGGCTGTGATTGGTTCGGCTCTGCGCTACTGAATTTGGATTGGCTGACCTATTTTTTTTTTTTTTTTTTTGAGGACAAGAGCAGCGAGGTCTATCGCGATAGCTTAATTTCTCTATCGAGTAAAAGTTATATCGCGATACATATCGTTATTGTTCTATCGCCCAGCTCTAATACAAAGGAATAGTGACAATCTGCCTGCTGACCTGCTGAAACTTTAGTCTGATGTCTCAACAGGAAGAAGTCGAGGCGTAGAAGTAGTGAAGATATTCTGCTTCCACCTACATATACACGTAAAAGCATACTAAATGCTTTGGATGGAAACAGCCAAGAGAAACTGTATGAGTAGTATTGTTTGCTGTCTAAATAAATATTTCCTATTGATCTAAAACAAAACACAACAAGCAATGCTTTAGTTGTTACACAACCATGCTCAGGAAAACAAAACTTCCTTCCGTTGATTGCTAAAGTTTGTGTACTGATAAAACAATAATCAGAAAAGTCTAATTTAAAACTAGTTCTAAATCTAAAATCCGTTTACGTTAATCTTCTATTAAGAGTGCCAGATTGTTAAAGCAAATGAAATAAATACCAAGGGAAAGATTATTATTGGGCGGCGGCGGCGGCGGGGGGGGGGGGAACCTGGAGATACCGCAGATTGAGCACTTCCCTATTTATGGCCTGACCAAACATTTATATTATTCAGTAGGATTACAGAAAAAGCATGTTTCCGGCAATACATAGATTTGCTTCTGGCAATGCCCTGATTCAATGTCATAAGACTAGATTATCAAAGCGGTCACATAATTTTCGATCCATATGGCTGAGTATTAACTTTGACCAGGGCTGGCGCTGTTTGTTCAATACGCCCCACTGAAAATGCTGGGAAGCCTTTAACTCGAACTGGTAACTTTATATTTGTTACTGGTGTTAAAAGAGCACTTTTTAAATCTGCCTTCAAGTCAAATATTTACATTTTCCTATTGATGGAGTGCAGGAAGACAATGCACAGGAACGCACTGATGCTGTGTTAACGTAAATGTTTAAGTCACGGCCTGTTGATGGGTGCTTACTGTCAGCGGTTTCTTCAGTCGATGGACCGGCGTTCTCTTCAGGTGTCCCTTCGTCAGCATGGCGTTTGTTTTCAGCTCCGTCCTCTACGCTGGCCGAGGAAGCAGATCCCTCCATCTTGGCGTGGCTGCTTGGTGGCGCTAGTGCTTGTTAGCTTAACAGCGCCACCGTTGTTTTTTTTTTTTAATACAAATTATTTTTTACCACTCAGTCAGCTCCACGGGAGTGAAAACAGTGTGTAATATAAGTCTAGTTCGCTAAAATATAACAGAGAAGTATCATTAACCGTTTTAATAATGCGGTTGGTGTACATATAAAGGCGAGCTGTAGTCAGAACACCTGCGCAGTGCGCCTATCCTTCCCCTCAGCGGAAGTGTCTTCTTCTTCTCTTTTATTTGCCTCAACACGAAGTTATCACCCTGCAGCGACGCCAGTGGTGGTGGTGGTGCATTACTCTGACAAACAAACGCCCTCACAAACTTTTCCACTTGTTGCAGAAGAGGAGGAGCTGTTCTCCACTAAAACTAAAGTTACATATATACTGCAGTTGATTGGAACTAGTTACCTATTTGAAAAGATTTTTAAAAAAACACCTTAGAGAATAAAATATATTTACTTATACTAATTGATCAACAGTACACAGGGTTAAAGTTTAATTCGGTGACCTGTGAAATTTTAGGGTCATGTATCAAATACATTTTTGATATATTGATATTTCAGAAAGCCAGTCCATTCATTTTTAGCTCTTTTTTGCACACATTAAAATCTGAGCAAATGTTTGAAAATGAATATCTCAAAGACTACCATGTATAAAAGCCTGAAATTTGTTCTAGTCTTTTTTTCCCCCTTTAATCTTAGTCAGAGTAAATGGATATCACAAGTGGTTATCCTCTTCAAAATTATTTTTGGATAGCTTTTTTTCCCTTTATTTGATAGGAGAGTATTGCACAGGAAAACTGGAAACACACCAAAGGACCTTGGGTCGGACTTAAACCCAAACAGCTGCATTTAACCATGTTGTTTGCACCATACAACTGAATCACCATCAATAATTTGGGACAGATAATATTCATGTCTGAATACTGGGTAGTTAAAATGTGAAAAAAGAAGCAGTCCCGTAAAGTCCCATATTTGAGTATACACTAATACAAAAAAACAACAAAAAACAAAACCCTGTCACACTGTAAAAGACAGTTTGTGAAGTTTTTTCAATTTATTTCACAATAATGCAAAATAAATAATCTATAATATTTTTAACACTACATTCCTATGTCACTAAAAACAGGGAAATACTATTTTCATTCAATTTTTATGCTGCATTAAGCAAATATGACAAGTTGCACCAAATAAACAAAGCATGGTTAAGTTTCTAGATGTTATGCTAGTTTTCTTTGGGAGAGTAATTTTGGTAAATATTTTACATTTTTGACACCCACTTTGTAAGCATGCACATTGCCCTTTCCGTGGTCTTTGGAGGCTCCTCTCCAAAGACCACGGAAATTTTCAGGCTTTTAATTGTTAATGGTTTTTGAGATATAATTATGTTCAAAAATTGCAATTTTAATGTAAAATGAAAAAGCTTGAAAGTGGGCAGATTGAACTTCTAAAAAAAAAAAAATCTAGAAAAGTATTTGGTATATGAAGATTTCATTACACTGTCAAACTTGGACACTAACCCTGTCCAACCCCCCAAAAATCACACCACTAAACAAGAGTATGTGAATGGCTGATAAGAAACTAAAAGTATCTCTTTAATTCTCATACTAATCACGTCATCTCAGCGTGGTTTTTAATCTGTTTATCCAGTGCTCTTATACATTGGTTTATTTACGGCATTTACTCTGGCACTTCACTACTGACTGGTGGAACTGAAGCTTAGGGCAGCATGGTGGTGAGGTGGTTTGAAACAGTTGCCTCACAGCAAGAAGGTACTGAGTTTAACTCCACCACCTGGCCAATTTCCACGACAGAACATTGTAACTTTTTTCTTACTGCATCAGTCCTCAAGAGATCAACACATTTTAAATAATTCATACAGGAATATGTTTCATGACTTTGTTTCTCATACACGTTTTATCTGGGGGGTTTTTCTCCAAATAAGTTAATATGTTTATTCATTGAAGGAGTTAACCCATCATTCACAGAGTCATTTTCATCGTCTCATTCGGCATTAAATATCTATTTAAAGGCTCCTACAAGTAGTAAATCTTGCTACTCCGGGTCTCTAAACTGTGAAAAAGATTACAATGTAATGACTAAACATAGAAAATCACAATAAATAAAGCCTATAATGCAAAACATATTTTCATGGGTTATGCACAAACCCATACAGCTTTCCATTATTCAGTGACCTAATTCCTGGGGAGGAAAAATAAATCTGATAGCACATGTTCAAAATTGATCCTACCCTGTCATATTAAGGTTAAGGAGTTCCCTATAATAGCAATGTCCAAGTGCTAATGCTGGTTTATGCTAACTGTGAAGTACTGCACCACACAAGTTTATAATCAAAGGCAGGTTTTTATTTTAATCCAATATGTAGACATCATGGGAAAAATCTTCCATGCTAAAACAGTGGATAGAGGTAGAAGGGCACGTTTCTGAATCGATGAATGTTGAAATGCACAGGAAGTTGTTTTGCTTTTCCTTCTTTTTGTGGCTTTTTTTTTTCATTTTATTTTTACATATGAACCATTTGTTTATTTCTACAGCAGATAGCAGTAATGAATATTGTCAGTCACTTGGCGGGCCACCAGAGCTAATCTAATGCCCATTTTCATAACGGAAGGAGATGTGATGATGTACTCACCTAGATCTACTGTTACGGAATGAGATCATTCATTATTCACAAAAAAACAAAAACAAAACATTTACGCACTAAAAAGTGGAATTAATTTTTACAAACGTGGGTACATTCCAATCTGAAATACTTATTCTGGTAAGAGATGCAGACTGGACCAATTGAAGCAAAAAATTATGTAACCAATTATTTTCCTTTCTTGCCACTGTAAAAAAAAAATGTTAATGACAAAACATCACATAAGTCTAACATTTCTTACAAAATGAGCTATTGGTCAGCAGTCATTAATTGTGTAAAGGTGCCAATTTGCCCCATCCCCAATGGCCACCCCAAGTGTTGCAGTTACAGAAAACTCTTACTGTGAAATCACAATTACATATTAGAAATGGTTTTGCGTTTTACTCGTCGCATATTTGGACCAGGCCAGTGGCCCTGTGATCACAAGTGCTCCCTAAGAGGATTATACTGTATGTGTACAGTTTTTTTTCCTTGTTATGTTCTGACAAATCTAATCTGTGAGCACAACAATCCCCCTCACTTCTCCAAAAGCAAAAACACACATTTCTTTACAGTATCTTTGAAACAGTTGCTCTGCATTTTGGGAGGGAGGTCACATTGTTGAGTCTACCTTAATAAGCACAAACTAGGCCTAGGATACCAAAGACAGCAGACATGCAGACTGTACTCATAAAAAGGCACACAGTATACTGTACATGAAGAAACACAGTACAAATGATTCAGGACATATGACCGGAACTAGAAAAGTACTAATATTATCTAAATCTAAAGGTCATTGGCAATAAATGAAATGTAGACCTTACAGTAGAACCTCATTAATCTGGACAAACATCTGGGGATGGACTTGCCTGTACTCATGGATTTGCTGCAAGAAAAAGAAGAACAGTGGACCGAGACTGATATGGGGTATAAGAGAAGGCGGTCAGGGCCCACCTGTTGCTTTTGCTTTCTTTCCAGTGAGCTGTTACAGAGAGGGTAACATGCAGACTGTGTTTTGTATATAGATATTTGTTTGTGCTGACTTAAGTCAGTTCTATTTCTTTGTAAATAACTTTTTGTGCACCTGGGATATGCATTTTAAAAGACAGCAAAACACTTTGAATGGCACGTGTACACACCCTTCATGTCAAAACACACCCTGACTGTGCAATCTAATCTGAAGCCAAAAGACTTAAAATGTGTAACAAGTGTACAGGCTAAACCATGTTTCACCTTCCCCATCTTTTTGCTGATGCTCATCCATGTGTGATAAATGAGGTTCCACCAAATAATAAAATTATTACAAAAACAAACAAAAAACTAAAACTAAGTCTTGTTGCTAGAGTAGAAATGTCAAATCTCTCCTTGTGCATGTTGCAAGTAATGCATTTGTAGATCCAGCTCCCGAGGAAGAGAGCACCCGCATATCATGCACTGGAGAAGCCGTTCAGGGGCAAAAGGCAAACGAGATCCAAGTTTGTGAGTTTCTGTCCGCGGGGCAAGTTGAGGTAGGGACAGGGTCTGTGGCATGTGTGGCCTCTCGCTCATGACTGCCTGTGGTGTGAAAAAAATATTTGGGTGTGGAGGTCTTGGAAGTGCACCAACTGCGACAGAGTGAAGAGGGTGAGGGCCAGGCAAAGCAAGAGGAGGGAGCGGAGCAAGTGGAGGTGAGAAAAAAGGAGAAGGCTGATTTATGATTATTTGAGTGCCTGTTACCATTGGTTGTTGCTGCAGCTCCGGTCCATTCCCTGGTTTGAGTTGCCCAGAAAGCAGGGTTTGAGGACCCACTGGGTTGTTTTGGAAGCCCCATACTGGTGTTCCCATGCCCTGTCCAAAACGATGAGGCTCGTACTGAATAGAAATGGGAACCTTCTGTGTTGCTGTCTGTACATTGGCCCAGCCAGATGACGCCTGCTTTTGCTGCAGCTGAAAATCTTGATTATTTACTAACTTCTCCGTGGAGTTTATAGTCTTTGGAATTCCTGGTGGTGTTTGTATGTCCCATAAGGTGCTGCTGGCCCCATGAGAGACGGGACTGGAAATTGGCATAGCACTGCTTTGGTCTATTTGAGCTGAGGTGGATGCACCTGCTAAGCCAGAAGCCCATGGCTTTTGCGGCTCACAGCCGTTCCATGGCTTCTCTGGCTGGCTAACAGTCGAAGGTATTAATTGAGGATTACTCAAGTCCCACACTCTGTCCTCCTTCTTAGGAGGTGTTGACGGCTCCTTTTGTGAGGACACTGGGATAACTGACCATCTTGGCAGCTGAAGCTCTTGCCCGAGCTTACTTGGTGAGCCCTGTGAATTTACTAGTGGAGTAGGCCTGACACTCCACAGAGCTGCTCCGTCTATGTAGGAGGAGGGAACAGAAAATTCGTGTTGCACAGAACTTGTGGAAGCTAGCACTGTAGAAGTGGGAGTGCTGCTCCAGGAAACAGGCTTGTGCTGCCTGTGCTGCACCATCTCGTTCACTGCTGACGGGCTGGATTTTTTTGGCACGGACACCAGGTGAGAGGCGGCAACAGAAGACGTGCCGTCTTTTGTGTGTGCCGAATCTAAACTCTGAACAGACGTGGAGCCTGACTGACTTATCAGAGGAATATCTGCCCAGGATGAACTTGTCCGATGGTGCTGCTGTAGCACTGAGCTGTCAAACTGTGTCTGCTGTGGGGCTCCATGCTGGTGCTGCGATGATGGAACAGGCATTACTTCCCCACCATCTACCTTCCACTGCACTGGCTGAGGGTGTAGCTCGGACAGCCACTGCTCCTTTTGCTGCCTGCTCTGTAAATCCATGCGAGATGCATGCATGGAAGATGGCGGCTGTACTGCCCTCCTGTGGAGCTCAGCGTCTCTCACTACCGAAACCGGATAAGAAAGCTGCTGAGGAGTAGTCATCCCTGAGCCTCCTAAAGGTCTAGAAAATCCCCACACTGGCCTCCCACCCCTCCTCCCCCGCCCCCTCATCCTAGAGCTCATTGGGAAAGAACTGTACTGGCTGAAACTCTGCCGCTTACGAGCGTGGATCTTCTGGTGTACCAGCAGGCTACTAAACCACGAAAAGGTTTTGTGACACTCTTCACAGCGATGAGGTCTCTCTCCTGTGTGGGTGTTCATGTGATCACGGAGCAGATAAGCTAACCCGAAGCTTTTGTCACACTGGTCACACTTGTGAGGTTTGTCACCGTTATGTGACAACATGTGGTGCTGCAGCTGGATCTCGTCGCTGTAGCCTTTGCGGCAGCTGGTGCAGCGGAAGGGTTTTTCCTGATGCAGCTTTTGATGCGTTCTCATGTTCTGCAGGAAGGCAAAGTCCTTCCCACAGTCTGAACATTTGTATGGCTTCTTGCCTGTGTGAATGATGAGATGCTGCTGTAAATAGCTACTGAATCTAAAGCCCTTGCCGCACACTTTACACTGGTAAGGCTTGTCCTTGGAATGTATGCGCATATGCAGTTCCAACACTGAACGGTGGCGGAAAGTTTTTCCGCACTCTGAACACTTGTATGACTTAACACTTATGCTTTCGCTTTTCCACTTCACCTGCACATTATCACTGGTTAATGGAGTGAATTGTTTTTTAGGTGGAGCAGCCAGTCTTTCTAAATACTGTGAAACAGACTTGTGGACACTTAAAAGATGCACATTTAAACTGGACTCGTCCCGATAAATGGACGGACAGTGTGGGCAGGTGTGTCCCTTATCCCAGTACTTGTTCACATCCTTTGGGAGTCGAGGTGATCTCTCCAGCTTTTCATACTCTGCTTCATGAATGAGCATGTGGGCTCTCAGGTTAGCTGGTGCACAGTATGTCTGGGGACAAAGGGGGCAGTTAAATGTGCGTTTTGGTTCCTCGCTCTGGTGTGCGTTCTCCTTTCCCGGCCCTCTTACCTCCTCCTGTTCGGCAGCAGGGGCCTGCTTACTGGTCTGTGCACTACAGGAGTTGGTTTCACGCAGTCTATGCTGGCGGCAGTGCGCCTTCATGTTCTGGGCAAAAGCAAATTTTTTCCCACATTCGGGGCAGCGGAAGGGCTTCTGCCCTGTGTGCAGATACTGATGCTGATGAAGGAGGCTGCTGTACTTGAAAGTCTTACCGCAGATGTTGCACAGGTGAGAGCGGCTGTTGTCGGTGTGCTTGCGACGATGGTCTTCCATGACGGAGTAGTGTTTAAAAACCATGCCGCATTCGGGGCATTCATAGGGCTTTAGGGCGGCGTGACACCTCTGGTGGAAGCGCAGGGCTGTAGTGTTTGGGAAAGTTTGACTGCACTCTTGGCACGTAAAGGCGCTCTCATGAGAGTGGGTCATCATGTGCTTAGTGACGGAGACCTTAAACTGGAAATCCTGGCGGCACAGGGGGCAGTGGTAAGGCTTTTCTACTGTATTGCTGCAGTTGTGGTCCCTCAGCTGGCTGACTGTGGAGAATATCCTCTCACACTCTGCGCACTGAAAAATGCCCTCCTCCATCATTTGCACCTCCTTTTTTGGAGTGATGAGCTGCGGCTCCTCACTCTCCCTGTGTTCGTTTCGGTGTTTGATGAGGCTGCTGCGGTGCTGAAAGGTAAGGCCGCATTCTTTGCAGGTGAGGGGCGTGAGCTCATCCTCATGCGCGTGAAAGTGCCGGTGGAGGTTGAACGTCTCGCGGCGGGTGAACCTCTTCCCGCACTCTTTGCAGACCAAGCGGCACTTTTTCTGCTTAGCAGTCAAATCAGTATCCACTCCTCGGTCTGCCTCCTCATCGTCTTCAACCACATCCTCTATGCCGTCCACTTCGCCCACAAAATCCTTATTCTGTGGTTTAACTGCGCTCTTCTCCTCCACATGTGGCTCTTCTGCATTTGTGGCAATGTCACTGTCAACACGCTTGTCCTGCTGCACCTCTTCAGCATCCTCACAGACACTGTTGAGGTCTGCAAGAGAAAAAAAAAACACAAAAACAACAGCACAGTAACAAGTTAAAAAACAAACAGTCTGACAAACTGCATGCAGCACCCTAGCATATGCATCATGAGCGTCTTTAACAAGCAGCGGTGCAGGGTTGATGCTTCGGAGTGCTGTGGTCAATAATGTCAGCAGAACTCACAGTGCAGAACAGAACCAGCAGTGAGAGCTACAGCTCAGGTTAGCCCCGGAGGCTAAAGCTAACGGTAAAATACATCAACAATGTTAGCATACCACACTTATCGTTTTCCTCCGCGTGCGTCTGTGCTTCTTTGCCGTCATCTTCAGTCTCGGACCAGTCGAATGGACGCTGGTCACTGCCACTGGCCTCGGCCATTTTTTCAGCCGCTCTCAGGTCCTCCGGTAAAATGCATGTCGTTTTGTCGGCTCCAGCACCGGACTCGACAGTAACCTCCGAATGGCTGGCAACACAACCGCCGCCGTCGCTGCCAACATCAGCTCTCTGCTCATCGTTGGGGCTACCCCCGGTTTTATTACACGTATTCTCATCTTTCTGCCGTGCACTGCACCCCGACTCCACCGCCTCGGTTTTCTCCCCACATGTTTCCACCTCCTCCTCGGCTATTTTCTGCCGTTTGGGAGACTTCGCTGGGTCTGCGGCGGCCATGTTTCACCCATGCACCCCCTTGTCCAGACCAGAGCACACAAGGATCATGCTAGTCAGGAATCAAATTTCCGGTCGAAACTTTCAAAATAAAACTGTAATTACGCTCAGCACGGTTCACTTCATCGTTTCGGTAAATATATTTTGAAACGTTAAATCACGCGTTTCCTCTTTACTACTGTTTTGGAGTTGTTTTTATAAACACTTGACAATTGTATCAAATCAGCTTAACTTTTCAACATTAGCCCTGATATTTTATTATTATTATTTTTATATGCGGTGACAAATCCACAAGTGATTGGCTGGGTTTATTTGGAGTCCATGTCTGTCTTTTATTAAGTTTAGTTACATTTCATCAGAACAGTAGCTATCTACAAAATATAGCCTGTGCAAAACTACTTAAGTGATGGCAATAATCTGTTTCTTTGCAACTATTTACAAATACATCCATGTCACTGCATGCAAGATTACCATAAATAGCTCCTACATACTTATGTATGCTTTTAAATTCAACCATAAACATAGGATTTTAAACCCAAAACATACTGTGATGTATTTGTCATGGTGTCTTTTTTGTTTTTAAATATATCCCAAAAAGTCTCGGTTCTTCTGAATACATCATTTTTGTCTCAAAATGCACTGAACAGAACACAGTCTAGCTTTATTGTCCAACCAAAGTTGGAAAATTATGTACCATAAAACTGTTGAAAAGCACAAGCATACATTAGCAGATAATTACAATGGCTGTATAGCTACAATATATGGTAATAACAGCAGGTTACAGGTACTTTATGACAACATGGTTAGTGTATCAGGAGAGCTGAGTCAGTACTGAACTAGTAAGAGCATCATTGAGCTTTGCAGCTCTGCTGCAAACCATGTACAGAGACATGCATATTGAACATCACTGCCTACAGTATGTCATTTTTCTGAGTTCTTAAAGTCCACGAGTGAAGTTGCCACTCAACAGAGTCACTGTTTTTAAGAGTCTTTTAGAACATGAGTATGTACACATGTCTGAGAAACCAATCTAATGTTAAGGCCACCTATGATCTCAAGTGTCTAATTTTCATATCTGCTTCAGTCCTGTCTGAATACAAACCTAAGTGCGAGATGGATCCAGAGTACGGCATAGCACTCCAAACAACTATTGTTACTGAAATACTGTCAGTAGAAAAAGAGCATCATTTGTTTGTCACATTTTGAAACATCAAATACAGATGGTATGCAGTTTATAGAGTTTCTGAATACATTCTCCTCAGCGCCGTCTCCTGCGTCTGTGGTCAACAGCTCTTCCTCGCCGTGGTCGCTGCATACTTCCATTTGTGTCTGTGGGTGGATCGGAGGAAAAAGTGCACTCGTGCATGTCCGGGGATGATGGTGCAGGTACAACAGCTACAGATGACTGGTTATTTGAATGCTGGCTGACCTGTGGTTGCTGCTGTATTTGTGTTTGATGTTGTTGTGACTGCTGTAGCTGTGACTGCTGTGGTGTTTCGATTTGCTGTTGTTGTGATTCTGTGTGCTGCAGCTGCTGCTGAACTGGCTGTGGCTGTAAGTGCTGCTGAGGTGTTTGTGATTGGTGCGCTTGTACACGATGTTGCTGTGGCTGTGGTTGCTGCTGGGCCTCAAGCACTCCTAAGAGCCTTTGCAAGAGGACATTGTTTTGTTGTAGACTGACTGCTAATGCCTCTTGTGAAGTGACAAGTGTTCTCATGTCCTGTCTGAAACCTTCGCCAAACTCCCGCAGACTCTTTTCTACCCGATTTCCAAGCTGAATTGCAGCTTCCCCCAACCCTCGTAGCTCATCTTCGAGCCAGGAACTCCGTAGAGGGGCTTCAAGAGGACCCTGCTGTGCTCCAAGGGATGGCTGAGGACTGCTGGGTTGCGGGCTACCATTGAGGAAAGGAGCACTGTAGAGAGGAGAAGGTGGCAGCCATCGTTCTGATGGAGGGGGTGGTCCTATTCCCAGACCAAGGCCTAATCCCAGTTTGTCCTCCATACTGTTCTCTACAGGTTCACACTCAGGTTCTCCTATGTCTCTGTCACGCTCAAGATTGTCCTCATCTTTCTCCAAACAATCTCTCTCTGATCCTTCCATTCCTACACCTGAAAATAAATTAGTTAATTTATTAATAAAAATGGACACAAGCATTGTTGAAATTAGTTGCATTTAAAAATCTAAAAAGAAACCCAGTTCTCAGACAACAGTTTACCTGTATCAGAGTCAGCGAAGCATGGAAAACTGGGCTTTGGTCTGGTGCTTTGCTTCTGTCTGGCTTGCTGAAGCCTGGGGCTTGGCTGAGAAGGACGCCCGAGCATTGAGGTCCCTCTGCTAGATGGCAGGTAACAGCTGCGGTGGCGGGCATCCGCCAGTCTGCCCCCATTGCGCCTCTTTAAGTCATCCCAGCGCTTCTTCACCTCTCTAAGGGTTCGCGGGACTCTGGAAACAGCATTTACTCTCTCCAGGATCCCTGCCCAGATGCGCTCTCTTTCACGTCGCCGGAGCCTCCCTGCCGGACCAAAGAGTTCTCCTTCGCACCGAGTAACTTCGGACACCAGCACTTCAAGCTCCGCTCCGCTGAAGCGACTCTTTCTTTTTCCTGCGCCGCCAGCAGCCAGTGCAGCTGACATAGCTCGGTCTGTCAAGAGAAAATTGAGAGGAAAGCCAAATGGGAAAGAAAAAAATAAATATATAAATATAAGTGTCAAGAGCTTTAGCAGTCTTATTTTAACTGTGCTAAACAACAACATGGGCAAGTACAACAACTCTTGGCAAACCTCTGAGCCCTGTGACATCAGAATTTTCTTCCATCACTAAAATGTAGCTACACATTTTCTAACAATAATAAAAAGTATTTTTTGCATAATCCAGATGATTTTGCTGACTAAGGGTGACAATAATTTCACAAGGATTTCCATTAGGAGTAAGGCTGGTTTACAAAAAAGATAAAAAGAAAGAACTCCGTTTTCCATGTGCCATGCACATGTTTAGAATTACTCTAAACAGGTGCTCATCAGCAGGGCAAATCAACAGCATAAAAGCAAACAGACTCCTGTTTGTTGGAATTATAAAGATAGTTAATAAAAGTTGCCAAAATATAAAACAACTGCAGATAAAAAACAAAACAACGACCCAGTCTTCATCTGATCAACAGTAGCTTGTATTTTCTTTTTTTTTTTTTCTTTTTTTTTTTGCTCTATTGCTCCAGTTCTTTTATATTTTTACAACTTTTAATCAATATCTTTATAATTCAGACCAATAGAGTGCCTCAGGAATCTCTGCTGTTACAAATATGCTTACTTTGTTCAATGGACAAAAGGTCATCTGAGGACATGCCAGGTGCCATGATGTTTGGATGCACCACCACAACGTTGAAGGGGAGTCCTCCGGGTAATCCGCTGCTCTGGTCGCAGCTGCCCTCCGAATCCTCATCCTCCCGGGGGAAGCCGTTCTCTGAGGCTCCCCCCCCAAAGGGTCCCTCCGGAGACTCCACTTTGATGTGCATGGGAGGTGATTGCTCGTACAGCAGCCCCCCCTCCTCGTAGTACTCAGTCATGGATCAGACCTGATTTACAGCAGAACTGACTGGCGGGCCAATTCTGATACTGACAGCTTCTGCCCCATTAACAAAAGTTCAAAGCAGAGGTGAACCTACTGCTGAAGACAATACAACTCTTCTGTGTACACATAACTATCAACCTTTTAAGGGTACAGCTGCCACACACTAAAAGTGCGAGGGGGAGGTGGTTCTCAGGAAACGTAAAGTTAAAGCAGTCTTAAACCCGCTTTAGCACATTTATTAAAGCTGCTTAAATCATTGTTGTAGAGAGATACAAAATAACATTGTCTGATTGATCGCTAGCTCCAACCTCTAAAATCCATTTCTATCATTTCCACCAGTACTGACATGTTAATGCAAACCTAAGTGCAGTGTGTAAAACACCAGAAGAAGGCTGAGTGCTGTATCTAAACGTCCACTTGTTTAACACCGAGTCGAAACATCAGGGCAGAGGATCGCCTCCCAGGTCTGAAATCCATCAAAAAATGCTGCTTACAACTATGTCGAGAACCAGAACGGCTACGTTTGCTTTCCCCCTGTAATCTCCACGTCTGCGATATGTCGCATCGATGCGCATTTCTTTCTGCACCACATCCGCAATGGTTGCGCATTCCGCATACATTAGGTGCTGGTCTTGGGATGGAGCTAGTTGTTAAGCTAACAGGCTACCGCAGCTTCAGGTGGAGCGGCAGCTCTGTCGGAACTCCCACTGACAAGCTAGCCGACGCGATTGGAAAGCTGACGCTGTTGTGTTTCTTACCTCATGATAAGGGCACATGGGAGGCAAAAGCAAACCAAAACACAATCGGTGCAGCTGTTAGCTCAGCAGCCGACAAACAGACCGAGGACAGTCGCTTGTTGTTGACGTCATTGAAGGTGCAAGCTCAGGACCAATCAGCTGAAGAGCTATCAATTCATCCGTTTAACGATGATGGACAGGCACATCGCGATGTCACACAGTATACAGATGACTTGGAGGGTTTTTAATTTTACTTTTATTAATAAAACGTCTCTGTTGTTTTCTGCTTTGTGTCGTTCATGATATTTTTATAAACTCCCGAAAACTCTCAGTTCTGAAAGTACGAACAGTTTTATATATTACACTTTGTTATTGTGATTGCCCTTTCTATTTTGTTTTAAGCTATTTTGTTTTCTCCTGCCACTTCATTAGGTTAACCTGTTCACCTTCTGATTAACGCACATGTCAAATTAGCCAATCACATAGCAGCAACTCAGTGTATTTAAGCAGGGACGTGCAGAGGGGGGGGCTAGAGGGGCTTGAGCACCCGCCCCTTTCCTGATGAGTGCCCAAAGTGCCCTTTTGTTGAGGCAACTTTAAAATTTTTTTTATTTTTTTATTTATTTTTTTTATGTGTGTGTGCGTGCGGAGTCCTGTCTGTGCCCCTCAACAATAATATTTAACTATTAATCATAGTTTTGCTAAATAGTCAACGGTGCAATAGACTCAATACTTGAA